CGTGTGCTCGAGACCACCCGAGATCACCCACACCCGAGATCACACCCGAGATCACACACACCCGAGATCACCCACACCCGAGATCACCCACACCCGAGATCACACACACCCGAGATCACACACACCCGAGATTGCCGCCGACACCTGCAGCGAGACGCGCAAACGCCTACTCACGCCCACCGTCGCGTGGCACGGTTTAGCGATGCGGGCCTACCCCACCTCCCTCCGCTCCCTCCCTCGCATCCTCAACTTGCGTGTGCGGAGAGACGTCTCACCCTACCTGCCTTTCCTGCCGCCCTCCCAACGCCCAACCCGCCCTCCCCCCCCTCCCCTCCCTCACGGCAGGAGCGGGCCGGCCACAAGGGCCGCTTCTTCTCCTTCGCGTCCAACGCAGACAGCGGCGCGCAGAAGGGCGTCCACTTCGAGGGCGCCGGGCTCGACGGCGTCTGGCGCGAGATTAGACGAGATCGACCGGGATTCGCGGGAGTCGTAGCCGAGATGGTGCCCCGGGGTGGACGGCGAGTGGAGAAGCTGGTGGCGGCGAGAATGCTGCCACTGTTCTCTGGAGACATCCGAAATAGTGTGAGGTGGACATATCGAGTAGGCTGTCGTGGAAAAGGTCACCTTCGTTACCGCGCGCCCCTCAGCATAGGCGCGGCGGCGAGCGGTACGACTTGCTCTTCCAGCGCGCCGCGTAAACCTCTGGCAAACGCGCGCTCGCTACGTCGGCTGCGTGATGCCGGCTGGCGGTGGCGTGTGGCCTTGGGTGCCCGTCTGAGGGCCGTAGGGGCGCCGTGCACGCCTCGCTTCCGGGCGGCGGCGCACTTCTACACACGGCGCGCCCCTGAGGCGCGCGGCGGGAGTTCATGCTTGTGACGTTCCTTGTTGGGTGTTGGCTTTTGGCGCATGGGGGCATACACTGCATGGCATGGCTGGTGTTTACTATTTACGCATGTTGTTTCATGACGCATGACGCATGTTAGTTGTTACGCACACAAGAAACACTCTCTCGACATATGGTTGTTATAGATTTGGTGTTGCTAACTCTCTAGTCTCTCTCTCTCTCTCCCTCGGACCTCTCAGCTTTCTCTCTCCCTCCCTCCCTCTCCCTCTCCCTCTCCCTTTTTCCCTTTCTCCCTTTTTCCCTTTCCCTTTTTCCCCCCCCCCCCCCCCTCTCTGACTGTGTACCGACTCCCACCAGACCAGCGGCGCAGTCACGGGTCAAAATGAGACGGTCAA